TGGTCTCCGTCATTCCCAGACTGTCTTCTGTGGGTGGCCAGTGCTTCACAGCAGCTTCCATAACCTTACCCAGAGCTGCTTCCCCACGCCGCCGTCTCTGTTCCCCACTCTGCTGTAGAGAAGCTGCATGGAAAGAGGAGTTTCTGTCAGAGCTCTCTCAGCCGCATCTCCCTCACAGGGTGTCTGTTGTGGGGAGGAGAAGGAGATTGTAAGCCGCTCTGAGACTCCGATTGAAGGGCGGGGGTATAAATCCAATCTCTTCTCCTTGAAAGTCAACGTGCCCAATCTCACCCCTGGCAGGGGATGACCAGGCCCGACTTGGTCACGGTGTTCTTATCTGGCTTGGGAGCACATCTGAGACGCCTCTGTCGGAAGGGTGCCGTGGAGAGAGTCTGGGCGGGGGGGCTGCTCATGGGGTGGGTGGGTGGAGTCTGAGAAGCCGGGCTCAAACTGGGGGACTGTGGATGTTGTCTGGCTCTGACTGCTGTTTTCTTTCAGATGAAGAATGCCATGAACTTGCCTGGCTTTGGAAACCCGTCCAGGGCAGGGTGCAAAACACACTAGTAGGATATGTCCCTTCACACTTTCTCTAAAGAGTAGCCCTTTCTTGGGGGAGATAAAATGGCTAGCACTCAGGAGTGGGGGGGTTGTTCTTTTTCTCTGTTGTGACGGGGAACGCCTCGTTTCCAAGTAACCGTAACTTTGATGGGAATGGTGAGATACGGGGGTGTGTTGGGGGCGGGGGCAGAAAACAGACGCCTTGTTGAGATTGCTGTCTGAAGAACGGATCCATGCCTGTGCCTGTTGCAAGAGGGTTCAGTGCTGGGTGGACCATGGAAGCCGCTGGGGAAAGTTGAGCTGCGTGCCCCCCACCCCCCCGGACTGCAGGTGCGGCCCTCGACTTCCTCCGTGTTGCTGCCCCTTCCTCTGCCCGGTGTGGCACCGTGAGCCAGGGCAGCCGAATGCCAGCTCTGCTGAAGCTGTCCTGGAGACAGCCCCCCCCCTGTGGCTGGCGGTAATGGGAGGGCCATTAGGGGGCCGCAGACAGGCCAATGCAGCCCTGAAGAGCTCGCAAGAAAAGCCACCCGGCCAATGCTGGGGGGGGGGGGGGGGTTGGAAAAA